AATTCAAAAAGATATTTATGTAAACAAATGCCTTAAATGTTCTTTTTTTTAAAAAAGAGAGAACCTATTTATAAAACAAAAGTTGATAAAATAAAACAAATCAGATTTCTTTTTCGTTATGAAAAAAAGAAATTATTATTTGTATTCGAATCCTATAGGGGAAGCGTATTTACGATCTGGGCGTTGAAATTGATTGATTGGTTGAAAAACGGAAATACCTATTTCTATTTTAATTTGTGTGTAACCAATGAAAATGACCATTGAGAAAAATTCCCCTCATTTCTATTATTTTTTTTTCTTTTCTAAAATGTTCTAAGTAATATCGAGCTATTATTATTATTATTATCATTATCATTCATTTAAATAATTTTAATTTAATGTGGAAATGGATTTAAACGATTTAAGAAAATTTTATTTAGAGGCAAGTCTAAAGGTTTTAACATGTAAAGGGGCTAAATTTTAATAAGATTAGTTTTAAATAAATAATATATTTTGTATTATCCCAATGAGTAGAAAAACTAGATTTTTTTGACGTTTCATGACTTAATGTAATCCACTTCTTTAGAGAATAAATAACCAAATCAACCAAATTTAGATTAATTTTAATTTGGTTATTTATTCTCTGAAGAAATGGCTTACACTAAGTCACGAAACGTCAGAAAATTTAATTTGTCTACTCATTGGGATATTACAAATATAATAACTTTATTTATAACAATCTACCCAATGCTCAATTTATTCGAAATTATCAAGTCAAATCTTGGTAATGATACCTATAGGATTAGTTCGTTTTTTCATTATGACAGAGAGAAAAGGTATAAATTATTTTTAACCTAATCTAATCTTGATGCATCGGTAATAATTAGTTCAGTTTGACACATGTAAAGTGGCTTTACAGTTGTTTAATTTTGACAATCCAATTTTAGTTGATAAACTATTTAAATCATATTATTTAAATATTTCTTGTTATATTACTTAAACCTTAATGAAAATCAACAATTTCAACATAGATCATATTATTTTCTCTGTCGTATATTTAAGTCATTATGAAGAATTTCTATTAGATTAAGCTTTTCTTTTGTCTGTCAACATATATTCATATGGTTCAGTTAAAAGTAGATTATAGAAACTTGTTTCTACACATTTTTCAGGGAAATTCATGTCTACGTTTTTCAGTATCTTAGAAAAATGTGTTATTATTAAGACTCTTAAACAGTAGGAGTATTAATTTTAATTATATATTCCAGCTTAGTATTGACAAATTATTGGTTAAGTTTCTAGGGTTCCGATAGGAAGTCCGAATAAGTACGATTCAGATATATGAGTAGTGAAAGAGTTGTTTCAAATGACATTCAACAACCATCATTCTAAATTACTGAGTGAAGTTAAAAATTCATACTGTAGGATATTAACCCAGAGAATTAGTGGTTTATGACTGGATACGAGACCTGAAGGTCTTTGATTCGTCCCCTGATGGATTCATGGTTCAGCACTGTTATACAGTTCTGTATCAATACCAAATCGCTGTCCATTGCTGATTCTGGTTTCTAACCATTGACGGGTTATTTATTCTGTGACGTAAACTGTAAAAAGTAGTATACCCTTGAAATCTTCAATGAAATACCTTTGTAATTTATATCATCAAATGACCTTAAAGAATCATAAATTATAGTCTCACCACTGACGACAACATTGATTGAAATAAATCAGAACAATAGGAGTGTATATAAATGCTATGTTCACAATTATACATACTAGATGCAAACAATTTTTATTTTGATTGTGATTTATCGGTTGATCAAAAGGATAATAACTATTGACTCAGCTATATTTATCTTGAGTAAAACCGGACTCTCAAACATTTCCTACTTATTGTAATATTGAAATTTTTAACAATACTGATAAATTGTAAGTTTTTTTCCGACATAAAATTCACTGATACTATATTAATAAATTGAATATGGTTTTCGTAATTTAAATCACAAATTGATCCCCCAGGACGAGTTCCATACTAGAACTAAACGGCCATCCAGTGTTTCTATATTTTCAATAGTTGCCTGCCGAAGGTCAGTTCATGATTTAATTATGAACATTCTATAGTATTCACGGAATTTAATTATAACCGATTGATTGCAATCTAGTCGAAAATTTCTAGAACAGAAAATCTACTGTATTATTTTTGTAATACACTTTGATGAGTGAACTAAAACAGGTTAATACAATTGGATATAAAGTGAATTGTATAATAATTTTTCTCATTGATACGGGATATGATTATTCGTTTTCTATATACAAGAATTAAAGTTTAAGAGTCAAACAGATACTGGTCTCGTCAGTTCACATATTTATTTACTGTATCAAAACCATGAAACAAAAATGAAAATCATTTTGAGTAAATGAGTTTTTATATTAATAAACTTATGTCTGGGTGACTAGCTAACCATTGACAGTACATTTGATGAACTGGACTTTTGAGAAATCCATCCAGGATTCTAAAGGAAACATTTTTTTGGATATAAACGTATTGTACTCTAAATATTGCAACTTTTTGTTATATTTTCGGAAGTATTTTTTTCAAAATAAACACAACAAACATTATTGAATTCAATGTACTCATATTTAAATAACTATTGCAATTGTGAACATGAATGCACTGAAATTTGAAAATAGAATGTTCTAGTTAGCCAGTGTGTAGCTAGGATACTCGAAAATAATAGAATGATGATGTCCAAATTGTAGTTTATTCATTTGTTATTGTAATTGAATAATTTAACAAAGTAGAAACTATCCAAAGCAAAAAAAAATAAACAAATTCGATATTTGAAAAATCAATACAACTCACTTCCAATTAATGTCCAATGATATAACAACGACCTAAATAGATTTAGAAAATAAAAAATAAAACCTATCTAAACCTATAACGTAAAGTAAATAGTACTCACAATCTGTTTCTGTTGGTAAGTAATCAAAATGAACTAGATAGAGTTAACGTAGTATTTGTCTCGATCGATAATTCATTTCTTTGCTTTAAATTACTGTCATACCATAACTTCTGTTGAATTATCTTACAAACTTAGTGAGTTGTATAACTTTGCTAGATCTTGTCAAAAAGACTTGTTAAATACTGAAATCATGACTGATGGATGAAAGTGTAATTTTGAAAGAAAGGTTATTTCCATTTGTCTGCTTATCTGGTGCTAAAAGAAAAGGATCATGTATTAAGTAGAAGAGTACACGAATACAAAATCAAAACAAATAGGATTGAACCATAAATGCTTGGAAGAATATTAGAATGTTTAGGGGACCTTTCACTTCTTACTGCGCTTAGGATTGTATGGTATTATAACTGGTCTAGATGAACAATATAGTTTCAAGTTGAGTACATAAGACGGGCGAAAGGTCTACGTAGTGTATTTAATTTAGCTAATGTTTTTTGACATCAAGCTTAAATAAATTCGGATATCAAGAAGGTTGTGCAACTCGACTATCAAGTATATTCTCACTTATTGTAGTTTCCACCACATAAATAATTATAAGGTTCAGAAATATTACTCACCATCAGGCTGCTCAAATCCAAAGTAGGTGGGATTAAGTTTGAATTTATACTCTAAAATTTGTAAGTTGATTACTTGAGACACAGTAAACCATAAAATATTGCGTTTCTTGAGATCAAAATTACTTTTTAAGTTGTATTTATCACAATTTAATCTCAAATGGGTGTGGGTACTATTCAAATCACATAGCACTGGAGAGCTGTTTCATCCTTGAAGACGACTCTTTAGCAAAGCTCACCCAAGACCTCAAGAGGGCTTGAAATCAATGTCTATATGTTTCTCAAAGTTGCATTGGATTCTGTTCAATTCATAGTTAACTCTGTCTATGAAGCTTATGACATGGGCAATTGAAACTGATTTATTTAAGAGTTTTGTTTTTAATTTGAATAGTTGAAAGTTGTTGGTGTAAAACGTTTTTATCGGGAGCTTAGTACTGATCAATCCAGAGAAAATTAATGCTAGTTCCAAGATTCCGCACGTTTTTTTATATTTAAAAGCACCATCTAAAGAAATTGGGGCCATCCAACTCAGTGACTTTCGAATAATTGTTCACTTTATAAATAGTTCTCATAATGATATAATTATCACTTACACATCAATAACTAGAGCTCTGAAATTATTTCCCAAAATCATTGATGGGAAACTATGATCTGTGAAGTCAACTATATTGGAAACGAGGCTGTTACTCATTGATATCATTATATGATAGTCGTGTCATGTTGCAAATCGATTAGTCGACTCTAACTCAGTGTCTAAATAATGCCATCTTCACCGCACGACATATATGATTCAACGTATTCATGGATTTCTGTTTATACACTAAGTTTTCTGTTTTTAGCATTGATAGTTTGCAATATGAGAAGTGATTTCTGCCCATCAAGCTAATGGATTTTAATTGGTATTTATATTGTGATTTACATAAAAGATTTAATGGCAGTTATTATTAAGCTATCACTTTCTGTTTCTTGTACGCTTACCAAGCTAGATGTTTCCTCATTCAAAGACAGATTCATGAAATACATGTAATTTATTGTGCTATTCATATTCATTATCACATAGATTACTAATGTAACATCAAACGTAATTTTATATTTGAAATTAAACAATTTCAAAACTTCATATGTTTTTCTCGAATCACGTCTTTTATGCTTGATTTTTTCTACTAACACTGGTGCTGTTGCTACTTATACTACTCGAGCATATCACTGTGCTGATGTAGTGTGGTAACTTGAATCAGTGAACATAACTACAGGGATTTATGTTGCTTAAGACTGATTGTTTGATCAAAACATAAATAGTAAACGGTGACAATATTCTATATTTACATAATATTTTGAGTGAAAATAAACTATGTCTAATTATTTTAGTCTTAGTAAACAGTCCTTACCTTGCCTTCATTTTTGCGCTTAACCGATTATTTTCTGTATTTTGTTATTATTTATTTAGAAAATGAAAGAGAAGAAAAAGTTCTCTTTTCGGAAGCTGATTGGTAAATGTAAGCGATTATCTCATATGTATACGTATACAATGGTTAATCATTATTATTATTATTATCCTTATCTGTGTTATTTGATTATTTTTACCAAGGTGTATTTAATGAGTACCTGCTTATAAAAATAATACTGCCTTTTATTATATGAATGAATGATGGGGCTCTACATTCCTGAAAAGAAATATTCGGTCTATGAAAATGTCATGTACATTTTGGTACGATCACTGAACGTTTTATTAAATAAGTAGTAGGGATAGGTCAGAAAATTATCGACTTACGACCCCAGCTTTTTGAGACCTGAAAGGAACTGTTCTATTTTTAGATAGTCAAACCTCAGTTGATCGACTTCACGGTTACAGATATTACTACTCTGGTATTCACATGTTGAATGATGTTCCATATGGCTAGATTATTCGATGAATCAATCAGTAACCACTGTCATACAGATATTTAGTACTTTTAAACAAAAATCAAATTGATCTGTGACGTTAGATTATTTAAAAACTATAGTGACAATTACAGTGCATGATAAATAGATTTTTACGGTTTAATAATCCCTATAGAATATTTTAAAAACAAAAGAACATTTGAACGAACAATTGTTATCAGTCACTTTGTCATCAGGCTGTATAGTTATTTCACTCAAGTCAAAATAAGGTATGTATTAGTGAATTAGACAATTTTATAAGTTAAAATTGGTGAACCTTTGCATCTATGACTGAATGTATACTTCATTCTTAAATTAAAAAGGTCATTTACTAAAGGTTGATAATCAAAAATAAACAATGTGATATTGATCACAATTGAGTAATTCATATATTGGTTATATTTTTTCAGGTATGCATTTACTTAGAATGTACAGCTTCAATATAGAATAGTTCAATAAATGAGATTATGTTTAAAGTATATCATGGGGACATAAAATGCATTGCTATTAAAAAATATAGTTCATCGCGATATACTCATCAAAATTTATCGGAATTATCATCATACACTGTATGTGACGTAGCTAACTAAGATGAGTTTGAATTTCTTAGATACAGAGAAGAGTATTTAGTGTATTAATAAGTGATATATATATATATATATATCGTTGGCCGGATATCATCAGCAACAGCTTGGTATGGGAGAGTACAAACCAGCTTCCAACTGAGGAGGAAATTAGGGAAAGACGTTGGAAGTGGATAGAACACATTCTGAGGAAATCAAACATCACGACGAAACAATCGATAACTTAGAATTCTAAAGATGGACGGAAAAGAGAAAGACCAAAGAACACATTGTGTTGAGAATTGAAAGCAGACATGAAAAGGATTGCGCAGAACAATCTTGGTTTGAGTATCCTGGTGGGTGGCCTATGCTCCTTCTCGAGTGGTAACAGACGCAAGTAAATGTATAAATAAATAATTTATATTATGACAGGGATGATCTATGTTTATTCTTCGCTTTTTCTCTTTCTTTTTTTTAAACAGTTGAAGAATCATCAAAATCACATGTAAATGAAATGTTTAATAAATCTCATTCCGATATACAAATTGATTTAAATAATCAACAAATGGAAAGTGAACTAGAATTTGCACATAAATTAATGAACTCACCAGAAGAAATGGGTTTAAGTTTAGAGGGCAGAGATAATGAAATTGAATGTTATGTACAAACAATATGTGAACCATGTACATTAAGTAAAAATGCAATAAATTTTGATCGTTTACTACGTCGTATTGATACAACTAATGCACGTGTAACAACATTGATCAATTTATGCACTACAGCTATTTTAGCCTCAGATAAAACTGCTATTAATTTTCTAGTGAATAGTTTAAAACGTATGCGACGCAAACAAAATTTGTTAATTAATGAAGCAGATGATACAATGTTGACATTTTTAAAAGATCCTCTGATTTTATTACGTTCAAAGAAGAAAAAAGTTGGTAAAATGGAAGTGGTGTTAAATTCAGTATTCATTATCCTGAAGATGATGACGATGATGATAATGACGATGAAGATGATGATGGTGATGATGTAGAAAACGATATTGATGGTAATGGTAATGTACGAGAAGGGAATATAGAAGATAAATGTGAAAATAGTAAAAAAAATGAGGAGGCACAAATTCGTTGGGAAATGAGTAGTAATCAACTAAGTACTGATTATTCCACAAGTGATAGTGATAATGATGGTCCAACGCCTGAATTTGTTTTAAATTTATCTAAACAAATACGTAAAACAGAAGGTACACGATTAAAACAAAATTTACGTTTAATCAGTCGTAAAAAATCATCAAATATAGGAAGTAAAAAAGCATCATATAATGTTCCACCACCTTTGAATCCACTTGGACATAATCGTAATGATTTATTACGTTCACATGCTACAGTAGCAAGTGGTCTTTGTCAACAAAGTCATAAAATATCATCATCATCTATGCTATCAACAAATGGATTACATAATACTGATACAAAATATACACCAACATTACCATTTAATTTATTAAGTTTAACTGGACAATTATCATGGTTAATTTCAGAATATATTGAACGTGGTAGTTCAACATATAAATGGGCTACAGAATTAATTAATTCAATTGGTAAAATGTCTGTCACACGATCTACATGGTTAAATGTACATCAACAATTAAGAGAAACAACAGAATTATTATATTCACATCGTGATCAACAATTAAAATTATATTATTCAATTAATGAAACACCACAAGGTGAAATTGCATGGACTAAATTACAAGCAATACATCAAAATTTATTAATGGTGATTTAAATGCTTCGACAATTACACCAAATAATTTAAAAGTATTATGTCAATCAACAAAACAATTAAACAATCATAATAATAATAATAATAATCATAATGAAAGAAAATTAGTACAACTATCTTGTTTATTAGAGAAAAAATTACATTTAGCTTATTTATGTGATTTATTATTATGGAAAGCGCATAAAATAATTTTGACTCAATTAAATTATACTGATGAAGATATAGTGAAATGTCAATCGATGGATTTTCAAATACGTTTATTTGAATTACAATTAGATCAATTAAATGGACAAAATTGGTCAACAAATTTAATGAATTATATGTTATGTTGGTTAAATGATATATGTGAATGGAAAAATCAATTTAATTTAAATTCATCTGATATTGATTATTTTATATGGAATGAATTTTATGTATTTAAAAATTCAATTGATAATTTATTCAATTTAGTTCAATCATTAAATGCTTGTAAATTAATAAGATCAGCATTAGATGAACAAAATAATAATCATATTAATGATATGAATCAATCAATTTATAATTATCATTTAAGTAATAGTTTAAGTAATATTAATTTAGATGATAATCAAAGTAGAATATCATCATCAGATGGATCATCATCTAAAATACAATCACATAATCGTTTATCACATAATAATTATCATCCACATCAATCACATCATAGTCAAGGTGATTTTCGTATATTAGATGCTGAACGTTGTTCAAGATCATATTCAGCATTAGTTAGACAAATACAAGAGAATGCTATGAATAATAGACCATTAGCTTATTTTGCTGAACGTGCTTTATATGATATTGCAGTAGAATTAGGTTGTACAGTAAATTGGGATGAACGATTTGATAGTTTAAGTAAAGAATTAAAAAATGCATGGCAAGAATGGGAATTAATTATACGTGAAAAAATAGATCGTGATTTCTAGTCTTTTAATCATCTAATATTTCTCTACTTTTTTTTCTGTCATATTTTGAATTTATTACTGAGTGAGAAAAACTAAACACAGAATGAATCAAGAAATCAAAAAAAAACAGAAAACAAAAAAACAAATCAGATCCAACAGTATTTTTGCACCTCCCTCTCGCATTCATCTTTCATTATTTTTCTCTTTTAAAAATGTACATTTTTGAAAAAAAAGAACTGAACGGCAGTTATAACTATTTTTTAAAAACAACAACAACAACAAAGATTCGGTAATTTGTACTATTGAAATAAAAATATAAAAATAAAATGTTATTTACATCCTTCATTCCCTCTCTCTGTCGCTCCTTCTCTCCATTTGTCTAGTTCATGATCGATCGTCATTTGAAAGTTTAGATATTCTGCTGACATAATACTATAGATTATTATTATTATTAGTCTTTTGATCTTGTTTATATTAAAGTTGACTTCATTACTCGTTATGATTTGATCTTTTTTTTACAAAAAAATGTTTTTTTTACATATTTACGGATGTTTTTTTTATTTTCAGTGTGTATTTTATTATTATCACACTGAATTGTTAATCAACATAAAAAAAGACCAACTAATGATATTGAAATTTCTCATTTACTTAATTTACATATTATCAGTGTTAAAATTGCATATTTGAATGTTTAATTATGTAAAAAGGGTATTTTCAATTAATCATATAAGATTTATAAAAATATGTCTGTGATTGATTTAAATAATGAGACTATAATAAATATATAGACAACCTTTGTGAAATACCAAAGTAATTTTGAGAATGTCTCCCTAGTAACTAGAACGAAATGAGAGTTATAAATCAATGTGACGAGTTACAATTAAGATTTACAGTTAATTGTTACAGTTACGAATTATATTTATGGTTTTCATCATCAACTGACAACAGCTATAATGACAAAACGCTATTTGGTTAGATGGATGAATGAATTTTGCGACAAAATCCGAGACCTATTATCTCATATCTGATTAGTTCATTCATAAATTATAATCTTCTTAGATAAGGTACACAAACTGTATATAATAACTCGCTATCTTTTAAACTCATAGTATTAATAAGAGGGAATTTATATTTCGCTGAACCAGATAATCTTCAATGAAAGTGACGAGTCAATGGCATGGATTAATAATAAATTGTCTTATATTTCTTGTAATGGAAGTCGATGAAGATCATTCTGTTTGATTTTGTTAGTTTTCTGTAAAAACGCAACAAAAAAGGTTCACTAGATTGAGCATAAATTAAATTTGTTTTAGGTTTTATAATTGTTCTGTATAGTTGGACAATATGATAAATTTTGATTCAGTAAACTGATTCATGTATATACGAACATCGTTTGAAATTAGAGAAAAACTAAAGTTAAAATGAAATGCTAGAAATTGAAAATGGATCCAACCTATCTTATCCACCACATTGATTTAATAAGTTCGTTTTAATTTCTACAATATTCATTAACAAGGTTAGTTGCACACTTGATATATTTAAAACATGGATTAAAATTAAATGTATTATTATGTGACACACTAGATAATTCGTGACCTTCATAGGTACAGTAATCTGATAAAAATCAAACTGACTGAGGTTCCCATATGATACACATGTAACTTCTTTACTCTTTATGGTGGTGTAACTGTCAATTCAGATGAGTGAAGTCTTGTCAAGTATATCAATATCAAGTTTTAGATTGATAACTTCAAATAAATTGAGAATTGGATAGAATGTTAATAATAAGACAATGATATGTCCCAATGAGCAGAAATTGCAATTTCTGATATCTTTTAAATTACTTTGTGTTAATTCTTTAGAGAGTAAGTAAGTAAATAACCTAATTAAAGTAAATTTTAAGAAGTAAAGAGAAACAAAGCATATTATTTAGTTCAGTTCAAACCAATGTAGGACTGCTTACGTCAATCTCATGTGAATTATTTGGTCGAGGAGACTGTGCATCACTGTGTGTATTTGTGTGTATGCAGGTGGGTGCTATGTTCGAGGGATTAAGATATCACCTAGGATCGGCAAACGGAACAAAAGTCAGCAACACAACAACAAGACAAGGTAAGCTGTTCCAATGCGCCCCAGCGCTACTAAATAAATGGAGCAATCCAGATGCAACCGGAATATATATATATATATATTCCACAACGAATAAGCGCAAAACTCATGTGTATATATACTACATAAAAGTGTCCGTTAAAAAACTTCACAAAATAACGTGCTAAAGAAGGAAACGAACCAATGATACTTAAGGTCCTTTTAGTTTGGAGGGATAAAAATGAGGGGTGTTCAAATTTCCATAATATGATCACAAAAATGAGAAGTTTACTAAGTAATTTCTGAGGATCTAGTATCCTCAAAAGTGAGTAGGAAAAATGTGAAATTTTTCATATGAAGTAGAGGTTAAACGTTAGTTTGTGTGTAGTGATCGTATGAGAAATGAATAGAATTAAGCGTGTTTCTTTGGATAAATTTAATCTCGGAAGAATCAACTTAAACTAATTTACAAAATGTCAGAAACTGAAATTTCCGCTCGTCGCGGTATCATAAATATATCATTATATTGCCATTCTTGTCGAATACTTTTGAGATTTTCTTCAGTCTATTCAAAAATATCTCATCTCGCTAAGGAATATGTCATTTATATAGTCTAGTTCAAATGGTGAGTTTATTTTTCGATAAAAGATTGATCGTTAAACTATTGAAAATGAGATTTCTATTTAAATCTCTAATGAATCTCATCAAAGATTGAGAAGTTATCATTTTCAGTGAGTTAAGTCATGTAATAGTTCACAAAGCATTTTGAGGAGAAAATCATCATTTCATTACATCACTTACAAAAATGTACCACGACTATCCAGTATTTCGTTCAGTAAAAACAATCAGTACGAGCCATAGCAACAAAATAAACCGAGGTATTGATTTCAGATCGAGAAATATCTGTATAGACAATGTATCATCATTACATTTAATTCATTGTTGAAATTATGGTTTTTCATACTTCAGTTAAGTATTCAACGAATGTCAATTCTAACATTTTGGCTTATTTTCTGTGTGTTCATTATACAAGAATTAAAGAAAGCCACAGAAAATGCATATCACTGCAATAAATAAAAATCCTTTTATTATTATTCAAGATAGAAGGATACAAAGATTGAAAATCAGTAGGTGGTCTGATTACTACTTTTTTTAACTAATTGAATCAATGAACTACATGATGTAGATGATTTGTTATTTTCTGATTATTATCACTCGTCATAAACTAGGTATAATCATCTAACTGGGCAATTTTTAAAGCTACAATAATCTACAGTTCCATATTCTGTCAATTAATTTATCTTTTGGCATCAACAAAGAATAATATTTCTTATGGAAAATTACTGTTTTACTAAAAAAAATCAGGTACTGTGAAGAGTTCATCATAGAGACTAATGATCTGAGAACTCGATTTATTTCTGTTTTTGATCAAATGTCATTCGCATTTATGTGTACAAGTGTATTTATTGTTAGATGTTAGATCGAATTTGATCGATAATAATTGTAATCTTCATTCTGGTTAATAATTATTAATAAGTTATTAATTAATCCATATCTTCAGATAGCTGTTTTTTTAATGAGTGGTAATTATTAGAGTTAATTACTTGACGAGAGTTGGCAGAAAACTTCTGTTCTAAGTCTCATGCCAGTGGTTTTACGTCGGTAAGATATATGTCCGAACTTGGTTGATACAACTTGGTTGATACAACTTGATTAATACTAAGGACTAAATAACATGGTAATGGTTACCAATATGGGACGAGTTGAAAAAAACTTATACCGAGGTAGGGTACAAACCAGTGAACTTCGAATTAGTCATCCTGGTGGTCTATAGACTGAATTATGAGGTCTTAGTATTAACCAAATCTCAATTTAATCTCAGTCACTTGGCTTAAAGTCATTTAAGTTTAACTATAAACACAAGGAAATGAAAAAGAGTAAATCATTTAAATTACAACGTCACCAGTTACATCACTCTGTAGTGATAAATGTCATGTTCGTCTAGTTCTTTAATGCTAACTGAATTCCATAGATTCAGATGCATTTCAGTCACTTATCAAGGTGACTTGACATAGAGTGTGGTTTGAAACCCATAGGAGGCATCGGTCCCTTCAGGATTGGAGGTGTGCTATGCTAATGAGTACCAACTACCACAAAACCTTCGCCTACGATCTTCTGCGACTACCTTCAACAGCATGATATCTCAATAGTGTACATGCACTATTGAGTCACTTAGACTAGTGACCTCGTTGCACATTATTTATTCATTATCTTGATAATACCTGTCTTTGTCCTGATAATTGATTATTTATCGATGGCGGTATGTATTTTCTTTCTGGGTATACGTCAAAGTTATAAACTCATTTTAATCAACTGCTCTTTTGTAAATTCATAAATGGTATACAAATCGGTATTTGTGAAATGTTTGTCGGTTTATTAGGACTTTTCTGTGTTTTCTTCACGTTCTGATCTTTGATGAGCTTTTTTTAAACAAAGCTATGATTCTATTTACCAATCTGAAAGCAACAATAAGCTCAGATTATAACGCCTTACTGTCATTTTAATAGATATAGATAGAGAAGACCGTAATTAAATAGATTTCTTTAAAATAAAGATTAGTTTAACTATGGTAATCTTCCAGTTTCTATATTGATTTATAAAGATTTTCAATATGATGGTGTGATAATATTGACCTTAGACAGTCATATTGGTCTCGATATGGTTGATGTAAATTACCATTTTCTGAAACAAAAATCATATTTTCATGTTAAGGTGGGTAGTTATTTATTAATGAAACTCGTTGAATAGTCATGTATTGTATATTGAAATACTTTCTATCATATAGACTTTATTTAATCTCTCAATTTATACATTAAAAAGTTTCAAGATATTTCCTTATAAGATATCAAACGAATTAAAGTTATTATTATTAT